TATATATATATATAAAATAAATAATGTAAAATATTCGTAATTATTTTGTCATAATTATATAAGAACATTTACTTTTAAGAATATTTATTATCATTGCATATTTTCTGAAAATAACAAAGAATTAAAAGTATATGTACCATTGGTAGATGATGGAGAAATTGACTGTTGTTGTTTTGGAGTGGCAGATATAGGAGTATTTGCTGATGAAACTTGTATAGTCGGTGATTGTTGTTGCTGATTGTTGTTGGATGATTGGGCTGGTTGAACAGCTAAGTAAATCTTCGTTGGTCCTAAAACGCCTTGTTTGCCAGTCGCTGCGTGTGCTGAAATCGATTTAAAGTTTATAATTTAACTAATGTTGACCAGATGTTTTATACAAGAGAATGATTGTAGCCAATTATTTTATAAACCAACATTTTAAACAAAATTTTATTTATAATGTACACAAGATCAGAAAAAGATGATAAAAAATAATAAACACAATTATAAATTCTATCGTAAAAATTTCAATTTTAAGCTCTAATTTTATGATGACTTATAAACCGACTATAAATATAATTAATTAGTCAATAACGTTCAGAAAATAAAAAACAAATTAGTACGTTTTCAGTCAAAAATGTTGATGTCATGCACAAGCTTATCAATAAATTATATTTTTAACCTTCTAAGGATGACATCTTGTCAAAAAAAAAAATTCACCGCATTTGCTTCAAAATGACTTACAAGCGAAGAATTATCGATATTTATGTATCGATATATATCGATATATATATATATGTATACACATACACACACAGTGGTATATAGCTTTTCTGGGCTACGTTCGAAAACACTAGCCCAATGCTTTTGAATATCATTTTATCTTTGTTGTTCATTGAATGTCAAACAAGAATAAAATAATACTCGGAGACATATGGATGTTGTTTTTGAATGCATCCCTGGCAGATAGAATCACTTCAGTGCTTTTTTAATGCTATGTATATTTCTATCTTTAGTTCTTAAGTTTGTAAGTACTAATTTGTACAGATTTCAAATTTATCCCAAATTTATCCTAAATTTAATTTTAAAATAAACATTGCAAATTTGTAACATTTGCCCATAAAGGTTTAAAGATCCTTAAAAACAAACCTTTCAGAAGTTGCTGTTTAACTTGTTGTTGCACCATATTTAATTGCTGTGGTGTAAAATCCGAGCCCGTTAAACCCTGCAGCACAATTCGTGGACCCTCAGCTGTACTGATAACTTGCGCCGTCACACATTTGATTATTGTACCGGGTGGTTGCCCAACCAGTAAAGAAGCCTCAAGACTCCCTGGAATTGGAGTCGTGGCGGAACTCTGAGTTGTCGTTGTTGACATCGTGGATGTTGCGGTAGTCGTCGTCGGACTCGTATTTGTAGATGATTGTGCAACTGTTGAAGTTGGCGTGGTTTGTAAAGCTAAAAGCATAAATTTATTCTCAGTATATAAAATTTTCGAGATATATGAAAGAGATCTTGCTAAGCGCACTTTCTTGAAATGCAAGTTCTTCGATGAGAATTTTCAGTTAATCTTTTTTTTAAAAAAGTGCAGATAATTAATTAGAATAACACTAACCTTGTTGTTTATTCGTGGTGACAGTACCTTTCACGATAAATCCACCATTAGGAGAGTTCACGTGCACAATCTGATTGGATGCGTTACGTATCACAACTTGATTGCCAATCGTAGTCAAGTGAGCCTTGCCTGTCGCCAATTGTTGAACCAAATTTGCGTTTGTGGCGACCATTATAGGATTCCCACTTATCACTTGTCCACCAGAAGATATTACCTACAATATTTTTATTTTATATAAGTATAAATTTATGTAAGTATAAAAATTATATGTATATACATATTTTTTGTAATTAATTCTAAGTCTAAAACTTTGCAATTTTATTTTTTCTATATATCTCTCTCAATTAAGTCTTTTTAATATTTTTTAAGGTAATTTTTAAAAATTAAATTTTAAAAATTAAATAAATCTACTGAATTTAGATATATTATATTTAGTATTTTGCCAAATTTTCAGCAATTTTTGTTAGGTCTATATACATTCAAAAATCATTTCATGATTCGATTCAAGTTAATTGAAAGAGTAATTACCTGCGCGGTTTGTCCTGTGTTAGTGACTACGATAGCATTCTTCGTTCCTTGAGCTGTTGAGACGGGTGCCAGAGTCATGGTCGCGGATTTTACTCGTTGAACAGTTTGTACACAATAATTTGACTGAGGCGTTTGCGCTTGTTGCGGTGAGCTCGCTGTTGTCTTTGCATTCGGACTGGTTTTAATCACAGACGTACTCTCAGTCGCCGCCACTTTAGTACTAACGGCAGTCACAGTCTTCGTCTAAAATATATCAATTATAATAAATAAAAATTGTCACATAAACATTCACACTTGTAGGCTCGTATTGACCCTGATGTAATTTGTTATATATAGTGTTCTATAAACAAACTTATTATTTCCTTTATTTTCGAATCCTACATCATATTGATTTCTATTACATCGATTAATTATATAGCTTTTTTTTGTACATCACTCTTTCACGATCAGAAGATTGTTTTCAAAAAATGTGTTTTTGAATAAATTACTTGTGAAGTTGTAGATGTTGTTGAATTCGTTTGAGCACTTTGTGCAATTGTGGTGCCCACAGTTTGGCTTACATTCACCACGTGCAGCTTTCCATCCGGCATTTGAACCAACTGCTGGCCAGGCAACAAGCCACGCACTTGCAACTTCCCGTCTGGTCCTCTGAGAATTTGCACTCTCTGTGGCACAGGTGAGACATTAGTGCCTAAAAGAATACGATTAAGATAATTAAGAAAAAACCTTCTAGAAAGGCAATTTATATTTTGCAATTTATATTTATAATTTAATATTTCAGAAACAAGAAAAAGATTTTCATTGTTATAATTAATATTACTTTAAATTTAAATAACAAATAGACTTACTTGTTGGCGTTATCCTAATCACAGATTGCTGATTTAGCCCTGGAGTTGGCGGCGTTTTCGGTAAAATACTAGTAGGACCGGATACAACCTTAGTAGTTCCATCAGCAGCTAAAATAAAGCAATAGGATAGTTCATACAAAGTCAATCTCAAATAATCTCTTTGCTCAAATGTAAGAATAAATAACTTACATTTCGTCATATAAATCCGCCTTGTACCGATGAACGTTTTATTTTGTGTAGGAGTTGTTAGAAGAGAAGTCAACTGCGACTTGTTGCTGTTCGGGTTTGCCGGAATCGGGACTTTTGTAACTAATTTAACGGTACCATCTAAAAGTAATGTAATCCCTTTTAATATAATTCCAGTTTACCTTAATTTCAACAAGAATAAATATCGTTTTAAGTATATTCATCTTCTTATAGATTTATCATATATAATATTATATATATAGTCAGCTTACCGGAAGAAGAATTGGTTGTAACTTTAACAATGTGAGAGGTAGCAGGCGACGAATTTCCGGATTGGTTTTTAACAGTCATCTCATGCAAAGCACGCTTTTGTTGATGAGCCGCCCGTTGCATGCGCAATTGCTGTTCCATCTTTTCTTTAATTTCTTCTGGTGTTGCTTTGCCGCTCACAAGCTGATCGCCAGTTAGACCAGCTGTGCCACTGGTGGTGGTAACAGTAGTGACGGTTTTATTTCCACTACTGACGATCACGGACTGTGGTGCACCTGAGCGACTCCTAGTAATAATCTGCGCATTAGCCTTCTCTAACCTGGAGACAGGACAGACACACCAAGCAAAGGGTTAGTTCCCAATGGAAGAAAGCAAGCGGTTAAAGGTTGAAGGTTCAGCCTTTGGTTGAAGGTTAGATCCATACTAGGATATCATTGGCATGAATTACAAAAGAGTAAACAGCGACATGTTTCACACGATATCGCAATTTGTTCGAAACGAAAGAGATACACATGAAATATGCATTTTAATTTCCCAAGATTTGTGATAATTTTAGAAAAATATTTGTACAAAAAAATTATACAGAAAACATAAACAATATATTAAGCAAAAACATTAAGTAAAAAACTTGTCACAAATAATAAATTTTTATAATTTTTAAATTTAATACATTTTAACAAACTCTTTTAAGTGTAATGTATAAATTCATATTATTACATGTCAAAATTATATTCCAATAAAAATATTTTGATTTTTAAGAATAGTATAAAAATCATTAACGTGTAACGTTCCTTAATTAACTCTTGAGTAAGCTCGATGAAAACGATCAGTAGCACAGCAATTGTAAAGATAAAAAGAATATTTCAGAAAGAATTTGACAAACAACATTAGACATACAAAATAACATGCAATATTTCAATAAAAGACACATATTGCATTAATCATTCTTGATCTTTACCTGTCACCATATTGTTTGATCTCCCATAATTCTAATTTATCTTCATCGACCCATTCCTCAGTAACTTGTGGTTTGGTGCTTTGTGGAGATTCAGGACGCTTTCTTTTTCTCAGTCCACTCCTTATAGACGTTACCTCTACAAAAGTATTATACATAAGATGAATATGATTTTAAAAAAAGTTATGTTACTACTTTTTCGCGTAACATATAACTATAATAAACTGTCAATTCAATAATAAGTTTCATATAATTGAGACTTTAATAATACAGTTATCGTCCATACATACCTCTGACTTGCTTTGGAAGTTCGAGCGGTATGACGACTTTCCTACGTAGATATTGAGCCCTGTCGAGGAACTGCCCAACATGTCGATGCTTCAATATCTCCAGAGACATGATCTCCGTATCGGTGGTGATCTGATTTTTACCGTCGGTGGACAACGGCTTGGCTGCCATGTCGTCCCATCTGAGACAAGCCCAGAGTATTCTCAACTGAATCGCAGCAGCGGCTAGCGACTTCAAACCAACCGTTCTGTACAACCAGCAAGTCTTGAATAAGGGTCTGGGACAAGGATATGGCCACACTGACATATTTGCCTTGGCTTGATGATGGAATCCTTGCACGGGTGTTTTACCACCGACGCGGGATAATTTCCTCAATTCGTGCCGAGGAAGTACTAATATACTGCGTTGTTTATTCTTCGTGCAGAAAGTCGAGCAGAGTGGATATTTGACTGGTGTGCGTTTTTTCTTACGATCAGCTGTCGTGTTCACCACTTTTTTCAGATATAGCTTACCCTCTGTTGATGTTGCCGTGTATATTCGCTCGGTACCGTCAGCATGCAATTCTTTGACAAACGTACTTCGCTGCACTGTCCTTCCTCTACGATTCACGATTATCACTGTTTTTGCACCATTCTTATTTGTTGTTGTAGTCATAGTTTCTGACGAGACGGTCGTCGAATTACGATTAACGGCGGAATGCTCCTGCGTTATGCCATCCGTATTTTTCACAGTCTGCTGAGTTGTCGTAATCGTTGTGGTGGTAGTAACGACGTTACTTGTTGTGACGGTAGTCACGTTAGAATTCTTCATATGCTCATTGTCGAGCTTCATCTTCTTTGGAGAAGAAACGTCATCCTTTGTGTTCATCTTCACTGTTTCGTCGTTGCAGTTAGTTGCCATCGCCGATTCCCGTTTGATCGCATCTTTTGATTCATCAGGAGAAACTTCTGTTTTCGCGGAAGTCACTGTAGGCGAGGTCTGTAGCGAGGATAAAGAAGAGGACTGATTGTTGTTCAGAGCGTTTGCCTTGCGTAGTAGAACGATCAGATCGCGCTTCAGTCGCGCCTTTCGCATGCACAAAGGCGAATAACAGGTGTCGATGATATTTGGAGTGATGGCCTGCGTGGTATTAACTTGCACGGCATTATTTTTGGCGTTATTCATGTTACAATAGCGTGAGTAACAGCTACTGTTCTTGCAGAGTTTCAAGACAGTTGAATATTGCAAGCGCACTTGTTGGATGCGCTTGGTAATCGTCGCCAGCATTTCTTTCGAAGACGGAGAGAGAGTTGTTACTGTCGTTTTATTCATTTGTTGCTTACCGGCAGGCGTCAACGAAAGACCTTGCTGAGGACCATCTCCGCCAGCACCAACGGTACTATCTGTATCATTTTCTTCGTGATTTTCCGTATCGATCTCCGAGCAATCGCCATCTCCGCCTTTCTGATTTGGTGTCTGACTTACTTCTTTCGCCTTTGCCTGCAAAAATATCGAATTTAAAAAAATGATGGAGATATTTTAAAGTAATAATACAGAAAATATAACATTAACATTTTTTACACTATCTTATTCTTTACACTATCACTTCTATCAGAATGATATAGATTATCTCCTAATTTGTGAATTATATTATATATATTATTTTATAAAGATACTCACAGATTGCAATAATTTTCTTTCTTCCAAAAACTTCAAATGTGTTCTGCGCGCCAGGAAATCATCAATTTTCGTCTTTTTTGCAACTTTTGGATATTGCAATCTTCCAGAAGTGGTTAGTGCCTTGTTGATGTTTATCTCTTCGAACTCAGTAATCGGAGTAAAAACTTTTTCGATTTTCATGCCAGCTAAAACTGAAAAGAAAGATTTTCTGTTTAGTGTATTTCTTACCAATAAAATGCAAGTCTATTTTAGAAATAGTCTTTAAAGTACTAAATTGTATTAATAAAATTGTTGAAAAATATTTTTATTGTATTAAATTCAAATTTATTAAATTTGCTACACACTTGATAAATTCATCTTTGTTTCTTGTTTGACCGAGGTTTCCAGTTTCACCGGGGAAGAATTAACACCGTTCGTCTTGCTGTCAATTGTAGGCTCCTTTTTTACATTTTCCATATCACATTCCTGTTTTATTGTATCATTTTCTACTCCTTCCTCTTTGATTTCTTGTTTCACAATACCATTCTCTATCTTACTCGGACAATATTCTTTGATGAGGAATTCATAAGTAGATGGGTCGAGCGCAAGAATTTTCAGGCCACTCTGATCCTTCACCTGTACCATAATTTTTTGTGGACCGGCTCGTAAGCCCGTCTTTGTCATGTCTGAGACTCGGTGACGGCGTCTGGACGACACCCAGAGCCAACCACCCTGGCCGTGCACCCGGTATTCTTCACCCTTCTGCTTCCATACCTGATGCTTTAAGCCGAGTGTGTACTTGACGAAATTAAAGAGCCGATTACGCTCCTCCTCGTCCTCTTTTTCTTTCTTTTCCTTTTTGTCTTGACGCTTTTTCTCCTCGCGTTCGAGCGCAGTCACCCGTTGCAATTTCACATGGCCGAGTTGATCATGCCACACACTCGCAAATACGACAGACTTAATGCATGCTTGCAAGACGATGAGAGTGCGCGCAAAATCTCGTGGATTCACGCACGATCCCACCGCCGTAGTCCATGGTTTACGTAGTAGTGGCCAATTGATGTGCATAAACGACGCCTGAATATTGCTTTCGAGCTGTAGGATCGTTTGACGTAGAGTACTGACTAACAGAGCACGAGTACCCGTCAAACTACCCACCCATTTGAACTCTGATGCTTGCGTAAGCGAGAACTTGTGCGACAAATGACGTTTCTTATCGCGCTCCTCGTTTCTCTGAGTCTTATTTAGCGCGATAGGATTGGTGCTGTACTGATTGACATACGACTTAAAGTTATTGTCCATGCCCAATTTGAATAAGTGTGTGCCAGACGCGATTTGATGTGCCTTTTGACGCGTTACCCTGATATTTCCATCGTTTTCGGAATCTTTTAGACCCTTGTCTAACTTCTCTTGCTCTTCCTTCGACAACGGTGCCATGCTTCGTCTTTTTATGTCATCCATGTTAAAGGTTCGCGGTTGCAACGAACCAGTCTTCGATCTCGTCACGATAGTATGCTTTTTGCCTGAAAGAAAAGATTATAACATATACGAATAAAATGAATCAAAGTCTATAAAAAAATTTAAATGTTCTATAAAAACCAAATCTATTCTCCAGATACTTTTTTAATGTGGAGAAATCAACAAAATTCACATATTACAATATTACAGAATTGTATTATAAAACTTACCGTCTTTTCCTATTTTTTCCTCTCCTTCTAATGTGTCCTCGTCAATGTCTTCAGATGATGACGTAGAGGTACTAGTTTTCGTTGTTTTGTCCGTATTCGTCGTGTTTGACGCCTCGGCATCGACCTCAACAGTTTCGCCGATCACCTCAGGTATTTGTGTAGCTGGAGTCGACTCGTCACTGGAGATTTTTGTTTCACCCTGTTCCGTCATTACAGTAGTACGTTCATCAGGAGCATCTGTACTCTCGTGCATTTTGCGTATCATTTCCTCAGCTTCCTGCCTTTGTTTTTCCTTTCTCTCTTCCTCTTCTTTCTCCTGTTTCTCTTGTCGTTCTTTTTGTATCTTTTGTATAAGATCTAAAAAAATATTTCCAGAGATAATTATTTTTGAAAATATTGTTCAATACATATAAAATTTGATATTTAATGTTAATTAAAAGAAATTTAAGAAATAATGTTAATTAAGGAAAATTGATCTTACTGTTTTCTGTTTCTATATAGGATTTCTTATTTCCTTTAAACTGATTAGTAATAGTGTCTGTAAGCTCCATTTGTCGGACTATTTCTTCTTTGTAATCTGATAATTCACGATAAAGCGCTACTTCCATTTCATTTTGATCTAATGCAAGCATTAGCTCCTCTAATTGTAAAGGTGTACTATAATACCACACTTCACCGTCTTCGCTCTCACTAAAAAAAAAAGGATCACAATAAAAATTTTAAATTATATGCGTACGCATATAAAAATAGAGGCATGTCTTTTGCTTGGCTTCTTTATTCAGATTTATAATTTCTTATTGAAAACATCTCGTAAAATTCTATAAATATTTCTTTTGCAAAATAAAGACATAATTTAAAATATTTTAAATATAAATACAAAAGATAATTAATTAAAATTTTACAAAATCTTAATTAGACATGCAGGTACATTAAAATGTGTCTTACACAAAAACTCTTCTTGTAAGAAACCAATATTTTCTGCCATGTCTGTCAAATCCTAAATGCTCTTGTCTACATAACGATCCGTTCTTTTCAACGTCAGGAATACAATCCGCGACACCAATCACTTTATGAGCTTTACATGTACTACATTGCCAATCCTCAGTAGGAACATCAACCAAAGGTGGTTCTACACATTCTAAATGAAATACAGCTGGACAAGTCTCACAACACAACAGATCTCCTAGTCGATGGCATACTCTGCAGTGATCATCATAATGCATAGTTCCTGGAAAATGTATAGATCTTGTCCATTCCATTCTCTCTCTTTCTCTCTCTTGATAAATCTTAAGCATTTTGTCATTACGTTTTATAAAAATAGAAGGAATTAACTTAAACAATCAATTAATTTCAAAATATCAATAATTTTGCAAACAAAAAATACATTTTAAATCATAAAATTTTAGATGAAAAAATTATATTATAAAGTGTAACATAATTTTTGTTACAAAAATAGTATTTGTGTAACAAATATATTCTTAAAAAATGTAATACAAAATAATTTTTATAAAATAAAAAAATTTGATTGTATAAATAACAATTTATCAATTAAAATATTCAAATAATATCAAGCTTAATAAATTTTATCTTAATAAACATGTATTTTAAATATAAAGCATCAACTTTGTTTAGTTTTGCATCTTTTTTTGATTAAAAATATCTGTTATTGTACAAGTAACTAATACATCAGCAGGGACATAGTAAATTTTTTCCTTGCCGATTTTGGATATAATCATGCTGTTTTAAGTATGTATATACAAAAAGCTATGGAAATAAATGTTATGCATATATAAAATGTATTTTATTATACCTTCATGCAATAAATCCTCTCTCACGGGATTTGTTATTAAGAATTGATCTGTTAAAAATTGTAGGACCTTGATTCTATCCTCGATGGCAGTAAAAGGATATTCAGTAGTGGTTAATGTCTGTAAAATGTTCTGATCAAAACCCTTATCGCTCTCCACATATGAACGTAGCACCTCTGGCCATGTCATGGAGTCCACAAAGTACAAGCTAACGTTCACAGAATCCTTTTGATCCAATGGACCAAAATGCGTCTGCTGTGAGTCTTCCTCTCGCAACAGTGCCTTGATCAGCATAATATGAATCTCCGCCAGCAAGTTAGTTTGATCTTCGCACATAAGAGCGGCGCAAAAGTCTTCAAATCTAAAGGAGGAGAGACGTACCAACGTGCGAAAGTGCCTGAGTACTTCGTAGATGGAGAGCGATGGCATGACCAGTTCTTTAGGGACCAATAGATCATCCGAGGACTTGGGTAACACTAACGGTGGCAGTTCTCTATTCTGCAGCCACAACGGCTCTGGACTAGGTGGCCGCTGTTGAGCGAGCAAAGTTTTTCTGGGTGTGCCACTAGTTGTACTGTAACTGGACAGTGAAAAATCGCTATCACTCGAGGGATCGGGTTCATCTATGCTCTCAGAAGATTCCATATCGGTTGGCAACGGGTCTTCCTCCGGTTCACTCTTCTCACTGGACTCATCGCCAAAATCAGAGCCATAATGGTATTCAGAATCATGATAATCGACATTGGGATTGTAACCACGACGCTGATAGACACCACCTGTGGATCCGGCATGGCCACCCTTGCGGGAGTGTCGGTCACGACCACTACGTGACTTACGCTGATTCCTTGTGCTGCGCTTGCTGCTTTCCTCGCTCTCGACCGATGGTGACGTCGGACGCGATGCCGTTGGTGTGCTCGGCTGTGAGCCCGGCGTCTCGGTGCCACCACCAAGTGCACCGGCTGTCCTGTTCTGTAGATACTTGGGTTTCTTCATCAGATGATACTGAAACTTCTTCGGACGTTCCATCACCACGGACTTGGGCGGGCGCCCCCGCCTCTTCGAGCCCCTGCCCGTCATTATTGTCGTACGTCGCCGTGGTACCTTCAATGATCGTCGTCGTCGTTGTCGTCCTCGCGCCGGCACTGGTGCCGTCAACCTCGTTTTTCAGAATACGATTTTCCACGCAGAGGAGGGACTGTCGATGAGGGCCTACCTGTCCTGTTCAGCCGTTCCCTCTTACCGCACACTTCGCTCACTACCTCTCTTCGTCTCTCTTACCACTCCTCTCCTCTCCTCTCCCGATCTTGCCTCCTCACTCAGCACGTGGCGCGCGTGCTCGCACGCTTGTAAACAAACACAAGTGACATCGCCGCGGAAAGGAGCTGGTTCCATCCATGATGCCCGATGCACTCTGATCTTTGCGCCATTTCCCACGGCCGACGGTCGGTTCGGCGCGGTCACGTGACCAAACACAATCGGCGCGACGCGATGCGCCCGCGGAGTGCACGTCACCGCACGTCGCACTCCCGTTCGCGGTGCCGTTCCTCGTTCGGCGCCGCCGTGCGTAACGTTGAAAAAAAGCACTCGCCAAATTCGAGATAGCGAGATCGACGACGCGAATTACGCCAGAAGGGGGTCTCTAGCTGCGCCGCTGGTTAGCGGTGGTGGTGGTAATGTCGGTGGCGGCAGCGGGCGAATGGAGTCGTCGTCGTCGTTGAATGGCGAAGCGGCACGAGAGAGCGGCGCTGCGATTGGCTCATCGCTCTGCCGCCATGTCGACCGTTTGGCGACCAGCTACGATGAAAAAGATGACCGGGCGACCGTTGTTCTACGTACCGCTCGATCACGATGCCTCTAGGAACCTTCGGGACGTCCTCGATTATCCGGACGACAAACGTCGTGGATCGCGCCACGTCGGATCACGTAAATTTCTTCGATTCAGCCGAGACGCCCGCGAGCTCCAATCGTTTCCACCGTATCTTCCTGTCCGCTGGCCCCTGTCAGATCGACGTACAAGATAGATGGCGGCACAAGCGTGTTCGAAAGAAAAAAACGTAATTCTAACCGCAATCTCACGAGCACGGAGCAACGCGGACTCGCGTAGAACGCGTGCACGATGAGAGAATTGTCGATGATGAATGAACGATGCTGATTACAATGAAATAGGCGACACAATCCGTTTCTTCGTACGTTTTAATCGTGATATTTCTTGGAGTACACGAGTCCAGGATGGTCACGATCGTGCGAGAATTCGTTGATAGAGGACACTACCGATGACGCGACGCCGCCATTTTGTATATGTTTCTCGATCGATAACCTCTCGCGGTCTCGCTGTCGGGTTTCAGCAAAATTTGTCCTCATGAATCGCGCGATGTCGATCTCGATTACACGAAATCGCAAGATTTTTTTGTTTCTTTCCTTTTACTCTATTCACGAAGCCGTTCGCGCGAATTGCAAACTTTCTGATTACTCCTATCGTGCCATCTACAGAGATTCAAGTCTTCGTGAGATTTCAACCTTCTCGCGCGAGTCTCGATTCGATGGATAAGGAAATTTCGAAGAAATGTAAGCGAGAAAAACGAAAATTCTCGCCAGAAAATTTGATCAGAGATAATAAGGAAATCGAAGACTTGCTCTTTTTAACTAAACTTTGTACGATATCAATCTTTCCTCTTTTTCTCTTCATATTGGAGAGAAAGAGAGAAAAGATGAATTATGCAAAAAGTTCAACTCGAAAGTTTGTCGCTTAAATCTAAAGGCTAAATGTAGTCTTTGCTTTCATTTCGTGCTTATTTCCCCTCTTTGTGACAACTCTATCGACAATTGTATACCTCTTCATTTATTTTTGTCCTGGCTCTCTGAAATTCGTCTACATTTTATCTTTAATTATCTCAGAAATAAAATGAAGAAACTGGATATGCCGTTTCTACCAATAGTTTAATCTCGATTCAGCTAAATTTTCACCTTTTCCTAGTTCTAAGAATTAGAAGAAGATGAGTAAATTAAATATTGATAGAGGTATAAAAGGCAAAAAGTAAACAAGAGATAAAGTGATTTAGCAAGAAACAGAAAGCAAAGGCACATGATTAGCCTCTTTTTGACATTTTCCTTTTCATAAACATAATACTCTTTCTTGGCATTCCATGAATAAAAAGGAGACACTTGTCACCTTGTGTCAGTTTATGTGATGATTGCATCATCCATTAATTAAAAGATTCATAAATGTGAAATGGTATGCGTTCTTTTGTCTTTTTTTTATATCTGACCGAATCGATTTCTGATGACAGAAACGAGACCGGTTAACAACTTTTAAGAAGAAAAGGAAAAAGAAATAGACTTGTGCCATCAAATGAACAGCATCTTAGCATCCAGAGATTGAGAAAAGGATTATCGCCGGACAATGAGATTGAGGTTACCGATGGAGAACCGTTGCTCGCGCGCCATCTCTCAGCGCGCAGCGCAACCACGACGCCATGGAGGAAACGTGGTCGTGCGTGGCGCGAGAGTGCGCGAGTACGAGCGAACGAGAGAACCTGAGAACGGGGCATGGAACAATTAGATTTTTCAACTTGACGTGTGTGAGTCGTTTTCGGTTGCAGCCACGCGACGATAGCAACGACGTCGAGGATGTACCCGGTGCAACCGTTGGTCGTCCTACCCGCGAAGTTTCCGCACTCGAGTTCCATGTACAAAATGCGAAATATTCACGAAGACACGATCGACACTCGACCCTGTCGCCACGATGCCGCCAACACCACCGCCACCGAAGCCAAGATGCCCGACGACGCCGTTGTCTCGCAGGTTATCCGCCTTCTGCAGGTTGCAGTTTCGTTTCCGTTTGACCGGAACCCGCGGTTGATATACCGCCCGTGGCCGCGCGCGTGTCCGCGGCAACTCGCGAACGCGCGAGCTGTCGATCGCGGTTGTCCGAACGAGCGAGACATGATGATTTCCCGAAAATTTCCGCGGGCACACTGATCCGTAATCGATCAGGAGAGCGGAGCAGCGACGTGCTGCGGTTCTCTTTCTCTTTCCCTCTCGTCACCTCGAGAGGCTTGATCGATGTGTCCCTCCCCCCCTGGGATCCTTTTTTTTCGCGTGATTCTCGGGGGGAAATGTCGGCGGTCTCTCGTGGAAGTTGCTTCGTGAAACAGAAAAGAAGACATACCTATTGAAATCATTGAAATATGGCATGAACGCGCGAAAGAAGCGCGGGCGGTATTCCGCGGCGGTGTGAACTATTTAACTTCCACGCGCAGAAGAGGGAGACGCGCAATTCCGATTGTCGTTAACTGTAGAAAAAGTGCGAAGATCGGATAAGAGCAAACAAAAGTTTCGTTGCACCGTTACAAACAAGGGTTAATTCATCGTTGTTATTAACGGTCATCAATTGATACCATTACATTGAGCTTTAACTGGACGATCGGAGGGAATGTTAGAATTTATTGTCTTTAAAGTATTCCACACGTAATATATTTGTTTGCTGGGTTTTATGTTGGCTATGGTGTTTATCTGTCAAAAATTTCAGTATATGGTAAATTGAATGTAAGATAACTTGGCATGTGTAGCTATTATACTTGTAATTAAACCTGTTCTTTTTAATTGATCTGGATTTATCTTTTTTTTCCTGTTCAGAAGAAAAGAGTAAAAATAAACTGTGTAAAAGGTTCAGCTAAAAAATACTGTGTTCGATGAGATCGTTGAAAGTTTTGATCTTTGTTCATATATGTATCTAGATTTAGTAGTTAGGAAGGATATTTTATATTGTATTATTATGTCTGCGTTGGCAATAGGATAATTATCAATTTTATATAAAACTAGATTTATTTCTTTTATTTTTTAATATCTACTTATTATATTGACATTTTGATCTAGCATGCCTATGTCAAACAAAAGAAAAAACAAATCTTGCTTGGAATTTATAAAGTCACACATTGATGTATGTATGTATAAATTTATAGTATGTATAAATACATATTAGAACAATATGTATGTTTTATTTATACAGCAGAGTACATTTTGACTTTTTATTAATATTGTTTTGTAACGTTCTAAAATTTCCAGTAGATTTTGTATTCGTATTTATATTCGTATCGTTAGGTGCAAGTATCATGGCATAGATATCATACATAAACTTTGACTCGACATATATTAGCATTCACGCCGTTGTTTTCCTACCTTAATTTAAAAAAAAAAAAAGACAACAGATATGAACATCAATACACTCCCTTAATTAAAAATCTTGAACATTGTTATGATACATTTCTTAAGTTCATTGTAGTTAAGTTCATGTAGTTTCTTTTTTTAGCATTTATGTATATGGCAAATGTTTGATTTAAATATGTTGAATAAATGTTTTTATACAGAATATAAAGTAATGTATAAACAGAGTAACAATTAATATTTTTATTTTTAGGCACCTTTACCAGAATATGGATTATTAGAAGCTAGACAAGAGAAAATTCTTAACCAATTGGCGGAACTCAAAAAGCAAGTCTCTACATTATGCCATTTCTTGAAACAGTCTAATCAAATGGAAGTGAAACAATCTAATCAAACAGAAGTGAAAGATTCTGTAAAAGTCCAGGTTAATAATTAATGCATTAACTATAATTGCTCGCTAAATGTTAGATTTAATTAGTAATTATGATTAATGCATCAATCGCTACCATTTATAATAAAATTACATTTTTATTGTTGCATAATAAGAAGGCTCAAATTAGGGACAGTTGTACATTTACAGAAACCAGTTATCGGCCACGTAGTACTGAATGTCAATCCAAGAAAACCGCCATATTCAATACTGGCTCTGCAGAAACTTTGGAAAGACATCCAGTTTAATGTGACATTGCATACTCATTCTACTATGAAAGATGAAATATCTATTATTTTTCCTAAGCGGATTCTTCCTTCTACAAAAGCTGCACAATTTATAACATTAATATGGAAAGATGGTAAGATACAATCTTTGTCTTTAAAAAAGACCTCTTTTCTTATAATTATTTATTCCGTTAATTGAGGATGCAATGAATTTTGGAAAAAAATCAGACTTTTTATCACTTTTTCATCGTCCACCGTCCTTATATTAGAATACACTTTTCTCTAACGATTTATTTAAATATCTTATATTTGATTGTACTCCTTAGTTCCGGACATGGAGACAATTGTAAATACGTATTCCTGTCCCATAAGAGGTGAAGTTAATTTTCTTAGATTAATGAGCAGATTGATAGAATCGCACAATTACGAGAGCACGTGCTCGCAACCACAAACATTGGACTTTGCGCTTGACTTCACCAATTTTTTACACAGTCAGAAATGTATAAAAGATGGATTGATTACATTAGCCAATGAATTTGAGAAATGGTCTTGCAAGGGTGGATTCAATATTGTAGATATTGCAGTGTGGTCTCTAATTAAACAATTTCATGAAACAGATTTACCACCAGTTCTTCACGAGTGGTATGTACAATGCGACAGTTTTTTTACTGACAATTAATAATTACGACAAATAAATTATTTCCCTTTTATAAAAACTTTGATATGTTAATAAATGGATATGAATATATTGTTTTTCATTCATAAAATTGTGCGTTATTGATTTATATTTTACATATCCATGTCCATCTGATACAAGAACTCCTTCGTCGAAAATATATAATTTATAAAAATTAGTTATACAAATATTGACTTTTACAAATACGTAGTAATTCCAAATTGGTAAATAAATCAGCTTGTTATAGAAAAATTTTTCCAAAATGTCATAAATTTTTATTAAAAGATTAACAGATTTTTTTTTCTCAATGTCGTATACAATTGACATTATAGCTGATTTTTATATTTTTTCTTATGTCCATTACAAATACGCATGTGGAAGTATATAAATAAAATTAAAATTTGCACTAAGCGTTCACTGGCAGTGTCGCGGAACCGTCGAAGTGTTTCTGTAGAATCATTTTCCCGAAAGAAGAAAATGTTTTCGCTGCATCTCACGACGTGTTCGTAGAATTTGCTTTAAAAAAAATATAATTATCTAAAATAAAATTATATCTAAATACTTATATCATTTTTTTACGAATGAATAAAACACGAAGCGATAATAGTCTTACTAAGTAATTATTAATTAGATTAGGCTTCTCTTTCTTCTGTTTTTTAAATTTCATTATTCGCAGTTATAATAAATTTGACATATTATCGTCGTAGTTCCGTTCGATACCCCGACTTTGGACGTTAATAAAACGAGAATGTTTAAGAAGATATGAATACTGTATCTCAATTATGATATATTTATGTACAATAAAAGCTCCATATATTTACATATTTCCTATTCGCGGGCCTAAGATATTTTATTTTTTATAATAACGAAGATAAAAAGGATAACGTTTT